CATGTGCATCCTACATCAAGGACCACTGGAAGACAGTTGAGAAATGGCTATGACGTGCTCACACTGCCCAGTCTTCTCCTCTGTCCTCGGAGGTCTCACCTTCAAATCCCAAAGATTTGTGCTGCTGCTGCTTTGTGCCTGTACGGTGGGCAATGCTTCTGTAACCTGCCCTCCAGTCTGCATTTGTGCAAGTGACATCATCACTTGCACCAACAAGAACCTGACCACTGTGCCAAGGACGCTTCATAAAGTTGTGACCAGCCTGGATGTTAGCTATAACAGCATCAGCCTACTTGACTTCACCTGGGCCCCTACTATTTTAGACAGACTGAAAACCCTCATTCTCAATCACAACAGTATTGATTTCCTCTCTAGAGGGGCCTTTGCCTCTACTCCACAGCTGCGATATCTAGACCTGTCCTCCAACAAGCTGAAAACATTGCAAAACTCATCGTTTCAAGGTTTAAACTTCCTGGAAACCCTCCTGCTTTACAATAATCAGGTGGCCCAGCTCAGTACTGGCACTTTCGAAGGCTTGTACAAACTTCGGAAGTTATATCTCAGTCAGAACCTAATCGCCCACTTCCCCTTGCACTTGTATAAAGGGCAGTCCAGACTTCCACTACTCGAACTCTTAGATCTGTCCTTTAACAAATTAACCTCTGTGCCGGTCTTGCAGGTAACTGCACTGCCTGTTAGGCTGCAGAGCAGTTTGTATCTGCATGCAAACCCATTTACTTGTGATTGTTCTTTCTACACAATGGTCACTTACTGGTATAACAGGCGCTTTAGGTCTGCGGTGGATTTTAAAGATGATTATAGGTGTTATTTTCAACTTGACTCCACGAGAAGTGTTAGTATTTTGCTGATCCATGATGACCTTTTGAATTGCTCCAACAGTACTGTCAATGGCTCCTTTCATGCTTTGGGGCTGCATTATGAGGCTCACTTGGGGGAAAGACTGGTGATAAATTGTGACAGCAAGATACTCGATCCAAATACAAGTGTTCTATGGGTCACACCAAGGAATAACACATTGCAGCCAGGCATTCAAGATCAGGATCTGCGGGTATTATTGAACGGAAGCCTTGAGATTCAACAGGTCCAACCTGAAGATGCAGGCACCTATTCTTGTATAGCAATTAACAGCAAACGAATGTTAAATGAGTCGATAGAGGTAACGCTGAGGGTGCATAATTTTACACAAGCTGGGCAGCGCTTGCAAACCTTTAACACTGCCTTTACCACACTCTCTTCCTGCCTCGCCAGCATTATTTTGGTCCTGATCTACCTTTATTTGACGCCTTGCCGCTGTTGGTGTAAATCCAAGCAGAAGCACAGAAAGCCGAATGGAAACAGTGCCCACTCTTCGATCCTGAGCACCACTCCCTCCCATGAAGCTGCCAGTGCAGAGAGGAAAGCCAGCAATTGCAAGCGGGTGGTTTTCCTGGAGCCAGTCAAGGAGCCTCTGAAAGGTCAGAACGGGAAAATGAAACTGCACCCCACCAATCACACTGTGGCTGAAAATATCCTGAGGGGCAAAAGAGGCAAAGCCGACATTGACGCTATCAGTTCCGTGTTCTCAGATAAGCTAATTGTGGCATAATCCGAATATCATGGATGTGGTTTTATCAGAAGTTAGATTACTTCCAATTAGACACAATGAAAGAATCGAAAGAACTGCGGACGCTGTAAATCAGGAACAAAAACAGAAGTTGCTGGAAAAGCTCAGCAGGTCTGGCAGCATCTGTGAAGAAAAAATCAGAGTTAACTCTTCAGGTTTGGTGACCCTCAGAAAACTGAAAGAATCGGCTGCCTCTCAACATTGGCATTTATGGTGAATCCTGCTTGTGGAAAGATGAAAGCTGGACTGAAGGACAGTTCTGATTCTTTAATGTTAATCAGGCTATGTCACCTTGGAGAGAGGTTTTACAAATCTACTTCGTTCTTGGATCCTTCATGAGAGCAGAAGTACACGCTGCTCTACTTTCTGAATTCTGCATTATTATCCTGGCTGTTTTGCTTGTCATAAGTTATAAATAAATTGAAATAAAATGAACTTGACACACAGGTGAGATGCCATGGTGAAGTTGTTTTACAGGAATGTCTATGCCGATGTTTACAAGCCTTCTGTCAAGTTGACATAGCCCTTTTGAAGGTCTCATTGTTTTGGAATAAGCCTAGTGATGTTTTACTCAATCCTTAGAAGCCAAGAGTACAATGAAGCCTCATTAATGGTCTTGCATCCACTTCATACACACCGGCAGATAACATGCAATGCTAATTTTGCTCTAATAACTAATGAGGCTATGTAAAAAGATTAATCTTTGCCACAAAAACTCAGTACACTGTTACAATATTCAATTTGTCATGGACCTTACTGCAAATTACATTTTTAAAAATTCCAAAGACGAACCATCATTCAGACCAGCCTGATGACAGTAAACATGTACTGTATCATTTATCTTCTCACTGCTGAACAAACATTGAGTAGGGGCCTACATTTGTATGGTGGAGTATAAATTAAACTTTTTGTACAATGATTTAAAGCATTGCCCACATTTCTAATATGTGCAGTACTGGATAACACATTAATTTATCCCACGGGTAGAGGATTGGAAAGTTGCAATGATGTCAGTTGCTATATCATTGTAGCATTAATAAAATGGAAGGGTTACCAGCATTGAGATCACTGGTTCATTGACAAGAATATTGAAGTGTATGTACTGAAATCCTGCGACTGGAGGATTTCAAGTCAATGACCCAGTAAAATATCAGACTTTGCAGTCGGAAAATGCCATCCAAAATTTCAGCCTCAGAAAGTACTGATGTTTGTCATTCCCAACAGTATAAGCTTCATCAGCTCAGCCTCAGCTACAAGACTCTCTAGGGACATGTTAAAAGAAAACTCTCCAGTTATTTCTTTTTTTAAAAGTTCAGACATATCTCTCAGTGCTTACAGCCATGGAATAGCTTTGATGCTGCTGGAATAGACCGTTCTGTCTAACTTAATAGAACAGGAAGAGCGGTGGAATTGTGAAATTAAATTAAATAATCATTAAAAAGATCGATAATACATTATGGAATAAATTACTATTTATAAACTTTTAAATGAAATTATTTAATTAAAGAATTTATTTCAAATCTAAAAATGGATGGTAGAACACTAAGTGTTTACTTTGAATGTGAAGCAATTGGTTTGTACTGATATATTTAAGAAAAATATAAAGGACTGTAAATGTAGTATTTTGTAGTATCAACTCACTGTAGGAGATATTTATCTTTGTTACCATTATCTTAGAGATATTATTGTATAACATGTATAATATCCAAAATGCCCTTTGATATTCATTGTCTTAGTTTGTAATATCCGGTTCTCGAAATTGTACATTTAAAACAGAATTATGCTGAATTATTGGAAATACAAAATCAGACAAGAAGAAGGCTTCCTCACATTTGCCTCTATTTTACCCTCTGTTAGATGCCACTTCAAGCCTGCTCCGCCATTCAATAACTTCATAGAAACGTAGTCCATTCAGCCCTCCAAGTCTACCCCACCATTCAATATGATCATGGCAGATTATCCAGTTCAGCCCCCTGTTCCTGCTTTCTCCCCCATAACCTTTGATCCCTTTGGCCATAAGAATTCCAATTCTCTCAGATCATGGATGAACTGATTTTTAACTTTAACTCTACATTCCAGCATATCCCTGGTAATCTTTCACCCTACTCCCTGCTCTGATTTAGAAACATAAATAATAGGAGCAGGAGTAGGCCATTCAGCCCTCGGAGCCTGCTCCTCCATTCACTATAATCGTGGCTGATCATCCAGCTCAATAATTTGTTCCTGCTTTTCTTGCATATCCTTCGATCCCTTTAGCCCCAAGTAATATCCAACTCCTTCTTGAAATCATACAATGTTTCGCCCTCTGTCAGGGAGAGCAGCATAGAATTCCATAGGCTAACCACCCTCTGAGTGAAGAAATTTCTCCTCCTCTCAATCCTAAATGGTTTACCCCATGTCCTTAGACTGTAACTCCTGCATCTGTACGTCCCCCATCATCGAGAACATTCTTCATGCATCTACCCTGTCTAGTACTGAAAGGATTTTATAGGTTTCTATGAGATCCCAGCTCCCCCTACTCATTCTTCTGAACTCCAGCAAATATAAAACTAACTGATTTAACTTCTCCTCATATGGTCAGTTCTAAATCTGAGGAATCAATTTTGGTAAACCTTCGTTGCACTGCTTTTATGGCAGGGCCATCCTTCCTCAGATAAGGATACAAAAGGCGCACACAATATCCCAGGTGTGGTCTCACCAAGGTCCCGTATAATTGCAGCAAGATGCCATGTCCCAGTACTCAGCTCCCCTCACTCTGAAGGCTAACACAACCATTTGCCTTCTTCACTGCCTGCTGCACCAGCGTGCTTTAAGTATCCAGTGTCCGAGGACACCCAGGTCTCATTGAACATTCCCATCTCTCAATTTATAGCCATTCAGATGTTAATCCACCTTCCCGTTTTTGCTCCCAAAGTGCAAAACATCATATTTATCCACATTTTACTACATCTGCCATGCATTTCCCTACTCACTCAGCCTGTCTAAACCACATTAAAGCATCTCTGCGTCTCCTCACAGCTGACCATCCCATCTAGCTTTGTGTCCTCTGCAAATTTGGAAATATTGCAATTAGTTCCCACATCTTAATCATTAATATATGTTATGAATAGCTGGAGTGCTAGCACTGATCCCTGCAGTACCCCACTAATCACTGCCAGCCATTCAGAAAAAGACCCTTTTATTCCTTCTCTTTGTTTCCTGTCAGTCAACCAGTTTTCTATTTATTTTGATACACTAATCCCATATGCTTTTAATTTTATATGCTAATCTCTTAAATACATCTTTGCCCAAAGTCTTCTGAAAGTCCAAATAGACCACAATCTCTGGCTCCCCCTTATCAACTCTTCTAGTTACATTTTCGAACAATTGCAGTAGATTTCTCAAGTATGATTTCCCTTTCATAAATCCATACTTTGTCTGATTCTATTACTGTTTTCCCAGTGCTTTGCTATAGAAACCTTAATAATGAACACAAGCATCTTCCTCACTATCAATATCAGACTCACTTGTCTATAATTCCCTGCTTTTCCTCTCAAACTCCCCTTTTTAAACCATGGAGTTACATTAACTACCAACCAATATGGAGGAACTGTTCCAGAGTCTAAAGAATCCTGGAAGATGACCATTAATGCATCCACTTTTTCTAGGGCCACTTCCTTAAGTACACTGGAATGTGCATTATCAGGCCGTGGGGATTTATTGGCCTTCAATCTCATCAGTGTCCCCAATACCATTTCCCTAATCAGACTGATTTCCTTCAGTTCCTCCCTCTCACTAAACCCTGTGTTCCCCAGCATTTCTGGTATGTTATTTGTGTCCGCCTTTGTGAACACAGAAACAAAGTGTGTATTTAGTTGCTTGCCATTTGTTTGTTCCTCATGCATTCCCCTGTTTCTGACTGTAAGGGACTTACATTTGGTCTGTGCCAGGGAAAAATGGCTTTTGACCACCCCAATGCCAATTGTCAACCAGGGCATTTCAGGCCCATTTTAGGACCTCATTCCATCGCTGCCAATACTCAGCCAGCAGTGGGCAAAGGGAATTTGGCACATGCAAAAATTTCTCTCACGTTTCTGGTGGTGATGTTGGGGCTGGGGTATTCTCACACAAAGGTGTTCAGTTCGAGGGACTTAGCATCAGGAAGGTGGCAGGGTGCCTGAGAGTGAGAGCCTTGCACTTGCTGCTGATCCCACCCTCATTCGCAATGACCCCAACTCTGCGATCCCCATCCTGCCTTCACCTTATTTGACCCTTAGTGCCACTGAGCCTGGGGTTGGTGCATTACCAGCACTGATCAATACCTCTGCAGTGGTGCTGTTGAGCAATGAAAGGCTCTGATTCATGGCAGCTGTCAGGCAATTGGGACATCAGCTACCAGCAACCTTGGCCCAGGGAAAGGCTTAGCCAATGCTCGGGTTGAGTTGCTCTCCAGTCAACAGGTGAGACAGACCCCTTGTGACGTACATTCAATTTTGCCCGTAGAGTCTCACTGGAGAAGAGGGAATACCATTCCTTATCTGTGACAAGCATGCAGAGCACGAGTACAGTTAAAAGCATTGACCTCAATGCAATGCTGCTCCCCTAGGCTTTATACACCGGCACAGATCAAAAACAAATGCATCTGGGGATCAATATTACTTAGAACTTGGCAAACAGCAAATGTTTTATGTCATTCTAGAAGTTCCTCAGGTACTTCCTAATAAAACTTCCATTCGCTTGCTCGTTATAAAGTTGGGTGAGACAGAACAGTCTCAAATGGCAATTTTGAAAGTATATTCACCCGGTCATACTTTGATATTCACATGCTTACTTTTTTTGTGTGTGTAATTTTGAAGACAGAATTGATTGTGCTTAAAAATCCTACATAATTTACACCAAAAACTTGATGTTCTCACCTATTTGCAGAGAAGGAGATTAATCCTATGCCGGAACTTTCCAAAGTCAAATTATTTCCATTGAATAAAACTCTTTCCTGAGACTGACACTAGAGAGAATGTTACAAAAACAGGTCTGTATGTTAATTGGGGGCTTGCGGGCACTGGGTGAGTGAGTGGTATCAGTTTTCCTGAGGAAAGCTGAGGCGCAAGATATTTTAATTCTTGATTTTACTGTTGACTGTCAATGAGAAGCAACCACCTGCCAAGGGTTAGAAATTGCCTCATCCATTGAGACAATCTCCAATTCCTCCTAACTTCAGAAAGAAACATATAAACCATTTATCCAAACCTTTGGGTCTCTACTGTTTCCATTCTAGCTCTTTGCCAGGTAAGCCTGACAATTAGAAACTCTGTACTGTATCCCTCAGAGGTGTTCTTGCAAAAATTGCTGTTGGGTCCTGATGACATCATTAGGATTCTATAAAAACATGTTGAAAACATCAGCTTCCCAGTAGCTCCAGGAAGGGGTGACAACGTGGAAGAGATGGTGTGTTATGGCATTTTAAATG